GTCACAACAGGAGGAAGATGCCTCTGCCTGTGTTGTGCATCTGCCTGGCTGGGCTGGCAGTGCTTTCCTGTTCACCAACCAGCTAAATCCCCCAGTCACTCTGGGTCTCCACTAGTGAAGTTTAGGGCCAGACTGTGCCCTAAAGTCAGATTGGAGGAATGATGATTCACCTTTGGTGCCCCCTCAGTCAGCATCAGAACTGCAGAATGACAAAGACAAAGAGGAAGAACAGAGAGAACAAGACCCAGGAGGAAGAGAATGGGAGACTGGGGGCCAGAAAGTGTGGAGCCAAAACCAGACACCATGGCTAAGTCGCCTGAAAGCTTCACGTTCCTGGCATAGAAAACAAGGTGCAGGGGGCTGGGGCCCATCACTCTTTGCTTCTTTTGCTGCGATTTCTACTGGGGGTTATTGTGGTTTTTTTCTTCCTTCCTTCCTTCCTTCTTTCTTTCTCTCTCTCTCTCTTTCTTTTTTTAATATTTCCATTTCTGGGTTTGCATTTAAGATCCTCCAGAATCAAATACATGTTAAATATGAAATTAGGTCAGATTTGGCATAAATTACTATTTGATTCTGATCATTTTTTTCTTTTTCCTTTTGGGTGTTGAGGAATCAAACCCAGGGCCTCATGCATGCTACTCAAGAACTCTACAACTGAGCTATAACCTCAGTTATAGTTAGCTGAGGTTAACTTTTCTAACTAAAATGATATTCAGAAGGAACTCAAACTCCTGTCTGAATTTGTCTCTGGAATCATGGCAGATGTTTGTGTCTTATCACTCATTTCCCTCTTAGTTTTCTGCAACAATCTTGGGTTGTTTTTATCATCAAATAAATAAATAAATACTTTTAGATGGTTTGTTAAAATAGTCATATAGGATATTTAAAATTAGTAGTGACTGGGAAATTTTACAGCATCTCTTCAAATTATGAGTAGAACTAGTACCTATTATACTAAAATAGACTAAGCACTGACTTTTAAACCCTGTGCCCTGATCTGGACAGACTAAGCACTGACTTTCATGGCACTTGGGATACTGGTGCCATAAATAAAAGTTCTCAACAAGACTGCAAGTTGTAGAGGAGTCTGTAGATAGGGTGGCCAAGCAGGGTTCCTGTGACCAATTGGAAAAATTATTTTGACGTTTTAAGACAACCATTTCCAAAAGGGCTTATTTTTGGAGAATGGAATCTTTCGTTTTTAAAGTATAAAAGTGTAAAATTAATCTGTGTTCATAGTAAAGTTAATAATTCATAAGCAAGGGCTGGGGTTGTGGTTTAGCCGTAGAGTGCTCGCCTCACATGTGCAAGGCCCTGGGTTCGATCCTCAGCACCACATAAAAACAAATAAGTGAAATAAAGGTACTGTGTCCAACTACAACTAAAAAATAAATATTTAAAAAAATAATTCATAAGCAACAATAAAGAATTTTGTACTCATCCCCCCAAATAATAATAGTCACAGATTTCTTGTGGTTTGTATGAGAAAAATAGTTTTGATACAGGCAAGGTCTTGCCTGGTGAGGGGCCTGCAGGCTGCACAGGTGTGTCTAAGCCATGCTGCCTGGGGAGACAGTGCCCTTTTCTGCATGCGGACTTTAGTAAAAGGCTATATGGGGTGTCCTGAGGGTAAGCAAAGTAATCTGAAACTCTGGGTTAAAGAGGATCAGCAAATGTCTGACTGGCGAGACGTGCTGAATGCTACAAAAAACAGGAGTGAATCATCCCCAAACAGGTTACAAGGTCAGTGGAACAAGCACCTTCTAGAAAAACAAGCATGGGAAAAGTATCTAAGGGCAATCCACGAATGCCAAGGGAATGATGAAAATAGTGCTGCATCAATATTTTCCAGAAGAGTCCTTTTCAGTACTTAAGGAAATACTACCTACCTGCTGTTTTATAAAGTGGTATTGCTTTCTTCTAACAGTTATTTTCAAGCTGGGCTCAAATGTCAATACTTTGCTGCCTAATGGATCCTACTTCAGGAATAAACAAAAAAGAAGAACTTCATTGATTTTAATAACAATAATTATATCACAAAAAATAGAGCTGGAAGAATATTTTTTTTAAATGTGCTTTGCTAAAGATGACAGAATACCTTTCTTTTGTCTTTCTATAAAAACAAAAGGAACAAGGACTTTCTCCAACATTTGTTACGTGTCGCTATCCAAGACCACATCTTTACTTTGCTGGAACTTTGAATCTGTTTAGAATGTTTATTTCTGGCATCAGTGCCCCAAATGCCATGCTATTCCAAGGGCACCAGATTTAAAAGCCAGAACTGAAAGTCTATTTTAGGGCAAAATAAGTAGTCATTCTCCTTATAATTTGAAGAGACATTTGAAATATCTATGCTGTCACACTCATGATTGCTTTCATCATCATTTTTGGTATGTTTGGCTCCTCCTGGCCACATAGATCCTGACTGAGGTAAAGAGACATGAGGGAACTGATCCTCATTTGATGTCTCTCCCCTGGCTCAGAGCTGTGGCTACCTCAGGGTGACTGTCCTTCTCCTGCCAGCTTCCACACTGGGGCATTCCAGCTGCATTAAGCACCACTGCTCGACACTGACCTGGACCCCAAACCACTTCCTGCAGAAAGCCTTGGCTCCACATTCAGACCCCTTCTTCACAAGCACTTCACATACTCTGCTGTGCCCAGCAGAGTATGAACTCTTTCGTGTGTGTCTGGGTCAAACATACAGGACATTTTAAAATCAGCAATGTGATTGCTGGGCTCCTGACAGGCCCTGAACTGCTTGCTCTGCTAGCTCTTACCAGAGGCCATGCTGAAAAGAGTGACTGCAGTGAAGGAGGCCCAACTCTGGAGTACCAAAGGCATATACAACCCTTTCTGAATCACAGTCAGCATTTGAACTTAGCCTAAAAGAGCCAGCTTTTCCAGCTTCACTCTGCAGACCAGCATGTGGCTTGAAAGCAGTTCCAGCAACATACACTTCAGTACAGAGTCCACACCCCAGCCTTGCTTTCTGCAAAGGAGAAACACAGGTGTCAAAACCGCCATGAGGGTTTTGTGAGTTCCTTGCAGGGGATGATGAGGCAATAATGGATATCAAATGTAGATCTGCAGTCACCATTTAAGAGAAGACATGCCTGATAAGCAGACACATTCAACTCAATGGGGAGAGCTGTTACCAAGAAGTGGGACCTCTGGCCCATTTTGGTCAAGCAAAGACAGTCACTGCTCTGAACTGCTCTGAAGACTTTGTCTACATGTGTGTCCTGTGACTGCAAGGTAAGGATTCTATATCTATGTGATCTAAACAATTCTTAGGCTACCAGATGCCACAATGTTGCTAAGAGGTACACTGAGGCACCAAGTCATCAGCACACTGTGACCTCCAGGTCATGAACACCAGCACCCTTCCTGGTCTTGCTTCAGGTCTATCTTTTATTTTCAAATCTCCTGACATCCAGGAGTTTTCTTCCATTCCAGTCAGAAGCATGCTGTTGCTAAGCAACTTGGACAAGTCACATCTTTAGTTACTCCCCACGCTGTGCGTGGGTGTGGTTAAAACAAAGGGGGTGATAAAGTCACTTCAAATTACAACTGGGAGAGGCTAAAGATAGGACACATATAGACCTTAAAAAAAAAAAAAGAAAGAAAATAAACAATGCTTTATGTTGGCGTGTTGACACCAGATCATGCCTGACTTTGCAATACAAATCTAGCACATCTGCTATCTCTGTGAGATGAAATTCCAGCAAACCACAGCCCAGTGGAGGGGTCCATGAATGCCACAATCTCAGAGGGCTGATTTGCACCTTATTTCTGATGGGTACAAAATTCTACAAGAGGAGGATGAAGACCTATGTTCCCTGTTGTGATCAATCTGTTGGTCTGGAAAGATAGCCCTTGATTTTCTTCTGCTTGATTTTCCCATCTTCTCTTTTATAGCTTAGGCCAATTCACTGATGTATGCACACAGATGAGTATCTACACCTGTTTTTGCTCCGGGCCCCTTTTAACTCAACAATACTGAAGGTGACCCTCTTCCTGTCCAGTCAGAAATACCACCACAGAACTTCTACAACTCCCCTGGACTTCACAGTGTCATACAAGATTTGCATTTTGAGCCACACAACTTGCCCTGCTCCGTCAGATATGCGTCATCTACGGGTTTTATGTTTTAGATGTTTTGATAGAAGGGAAAATCTCTGTAACAGGAAACCACCTCTCCAGGGATTTGGTACATCTTGGAGTGTCACTCTGTTGGGCTGTTACTCTTTTCTTTCAGGACCAATGAGTGACAAGAGTGGCACAAAAGCTCACCCAGCTCAAGGACTTGGCAAAGGGAACAGAGATCAAGGAAGCAGCCAAAGTTCATGTTTATTGCAGAGTACCTCCTTGTCTCACCTCCAGGCAGGGCACAGCTATTTGTCGGAGGTTCAAAGAAGGCCCACAGCTTTCCCTCAACTTTGTCAGGGGGCAAACCACACAAGCTACAGATCCCCTCATCTCCCTGGCAAGTGCCCAATTTGTAGAGGTGGTGGAGGGTCTGCACGGCCGGTCCGTAAGCGCCCCGGAAGGCGAGCATTTGTCTTAGTGTTAAAACTACGGCTGGGAAGGGAAGTCGCGAGGGGACCAAGGCAGAGCCCTGGGCTTTCAGAAGCCCACCAGAGGGCCAACAAGTCTGCCAACAATCAGCCCGGCGCAACAAGTACCCAGAGGCGCGGGCCAGACCCTCCGCCTCCAAGACCCCGGGGGCGGGACTCCGCGCACCGCCTTTTAGTTCTCAAATTCCGCGACAACTCGTCCTGGGGCCCGGCGCGGAAATGACCCCAGGCGACGGCTGGCCACCCGCAACCCTCGCCCGCTTCTCGGCCGGCGCAAATTCTCGCCGCCACTGGAACCGGCCCGCGGGCTGGACGCTCGAGCAACGAGGACGCGCTGGCCCCCAGAGCCCAGCCTCCTACAGGCCCGGCCCGCAGCCGCCTCCCGTCCTCCACATTGCAGGCCAGAGCCCGCCGCCTCACCTCGGGCGGGAGCCGGTGGCAGCTGAGGGCGTCGCGGGGCTCAGCGCATCCTGGGGGCTCAGGGAGCTGGACTTGAGACCGCGCGGGGCCCGCAACGAGTTATGTAACCGGCAGGGGCCGCAGCCGGGACGGAGGCGGCGGCCCGCGGCACTTCCGCCTCCCGCGCCGGGCCGCGCCGCAGCCCGGAAGCCGATTGGACACCGCCCCGCGCGGCACCGCCCCCTGACGCCAGCGCCGCCATCTTGGGAGCGGGCAGGTCCCCCTTAAGCCGGCGGGGTGGAGGAGCGGCGGTGGTGAACGGCAAGCGCGTAGGGCGGAGCCCGGCGCTGGCGCCCTCCGGCAAGTCGTGGCTTGCAGTAGCAGACGCGAGGTGGCCTCAGGTTGCGGCGGTTCGTCGAGGAATTCACCCAGAGCTTGTTAGGGGACACGTGCTGAGCAAAGACTTTACGGGAACGCATACCTTGCTTTCAAATAATGACAGAGCTCCACATACCCAAAGGAGGAAGCAAGAAGCTGCGTACAGCCAGGCGTTGAAATGAATAACCTCAAAGGATCTGATTACTATCCAAGAGATTGAAGTCATCGCAGACACTTTTGTGCCCATAATACTGTAAAAATGTACTTAGAAATGTTAAAACTATTTTTGAAACATTTCGAGATGGAAAATGTTCCTAAAGATTTTAAAGTTTTAAAGTTAACTTGGCTTAACTAGATCAAGAGTGAATAGTTAAGTCTGTTGTCCATGTAGTAGCTAGCGGAATCTTGATCTCCTTATAGCAACCTGTGTTTTCTTTTTGTAACAGTTTCTGTAAGATTCTTTTTCAAAAGGCTGGAAAATCACTTGGTCAGATGAAGATCCATATACTACTATTTAGAACTCTGTAGACTTACATTTTAAGCACCACAAATATGCTGTTGTTAGCAGCAGGTGTGGTTAGTGCTTGGACCCCTTTAAGACATTTTGAGCATTCGATTATATTTAGTGTGTGTTATTGTTGAATTATTTCTAGTTAATCATGTTACAAAAATTAAGATTGATTATAAGATTCACACAAATATGGCAAAATAAAGGGAAAATGAGGGTGGGCATGTAATAAAATGCACATTATGAAGTCCTACTTTTTAAACATGTCCGCACTTTTAACTGCAAGCTTTTCAGAATCCAATATGAAAAGACAATTGGTTACAGGATTCATCTAACCAGTGTTTAGGAGAGTATTCCCTGGAATCCATTGTCCCATACTTCTTCCTCTTTCAGAAAAGAAATCCGAAGAAATTCTAATCTGTCATGTCTCGTTTTTTGCTTTTTTTTTTTATATTGGGGATTGAACCCAGGGGCACTTCTTTACCACTGAGCTACACCCCAAGCCCTTTTTGTTTTTAAATTCTGAGACAGGGTCTCTGTAAGTTGCTGAGGCTGGTCTTGGACTTGAGATCCCCCTGCCTGAGTCTCCCCAGTTACTGGGATTACTGGCATGTACCACCACACTTGGCTGTCGTTATCTTCTTGTAGTGATAAAATCCCACTCCTTACAGCAGGCCAAGTCATTGTCAAGATAAGCTTATTCTTAGCCTTCCTTGCAGCAAGGGCGGGCTCTGTTCTAAAGTTTTTACTGGTGACCAAGAGGGAAAGTGAGGTCGGCAACTTCTGTGTCACATCCTTAAAAGGCCATTGCTGATATGTTAACTGGTGAAGCTAGGTGAAGGGTGCATAGGTGGTTAGGTTATTCTTTTAGATATTCAGGAATATTGAAATTTTCAAAGTAAAAAGGTGGGTTAGAAAAAGAAAACTGCCTACTCTCCACTCTCCCATTTGCTAGGACATGGAAACAGTAGTAAACCCCTTCAGTTACACAGGAGAGGCAAAACCTGACCTGGGTCCTTGCACCCCAGCCTGGGCTGTGGTTCAGAATCTGACCTAGAATTTGTTAAAACTGCTGAACCTCAGGCTTCATCCAGATCAACTGAATCCAAGGGCATTTAGCTCAGGCACTGGCATTCGAAAGGATCCCCAGGTGAAGAAAGGTAAGCATGTTAAAATTTGAGAAGCATGCCCTAGGTGATTGCACAGTGAGGACATTGTTATTTTCAGGGCTCTGTGTATTGCACTATAAGATGAACTTGGCATATACATCCAAACTTTGAGAACACTCTTTTTAAACCCAAATGAGAAAATGATTACAATTTCTCCAGGGCTTCCTATGTGCCAAGCCTTGTGTTTAAACAAGATCTCAATTATCCTCAGGACAACTTGGGCACCATGTGTTGCTACTAAGAAAATATTCCACTCTCTCCCACTGAGTGGCCTTGGCCCCACACTGTTTCAAAGTGGTCCCTCACTGGTTTAATCAATTAAGATCAACCCTTTCTCCCTTGGCTTGGTGACAGTTCAGATGACCCTGGCCTAAGCAAGAGAGGACGAGGGGCATCTCCTGGTCATGGGGATTGTTTCAGGAACAATCTAATCATAGGGAGCATAGTTCTAATCCATCCTCCAAGTCTCTGCCTTCTTGGTTTTGCACTGCTGTATTCTACTTCTTAATCCAACAGATTACTAGCTTTGTAATGATCATCTTCTCCTTCAGTTAATCTATTGAACTGAAAGTTTTGCTATAACTGAATTTCATCCAGTTGTGAAGTCTAGGCAGAGCTGCCACCTCTCTCCTCTAGAATTTCCGTTTCATCAGGAGTTCTCTGGAAAGTTGTTTCTTCTTCCCCTGCCCCTAAGTGTACTATCAGGTACATCACTATTTTTCTCTTGGCTGTTCATGGCCCATTTCACCCTCTGGCCTTGGGTCAAGTAGAGAGACACCTAAAGGTTCTACTGGTGGGGGAAAGCTGCAGTCTCCCATGGTCTGGTCTCATATCAAGCTGTCAAGCAGGGCCTTTAAAAGGAAGCCCCCGATTCCTGCGTGCTCAGCTCCCAAGCTCTCACCTAGCCTTGGAGACAAGAAAGTAATCAGGTTCCTGTGACCTAAAGAGAGCAGCCAGCTACCATCTGCATGGACAAGCTCTGCCCTTCCCTTCTGAAGACACTCCAAGACCAGAATCTCTAGAAAATGAGGTACTTTAATGTTCACCCACCGTTTTTCATGGCCCTGATACACTTATCTGGCCCATATAGGAACAAAGTCCAGTTTTGCTCTTATTCCAAGCCTGGGTGATCCCAAAGCCTCCCTTCTCTGGATACGACCCACCTATGACCCCTTGCTCTATTTGGAAAGAGTGGTCAGTAAGATGACCTATAGCTGGGGAGGGAGGACAGCAAGGACTGGCAATCCAGTCCCCACCAACACCTGGACATTCAGGTGGTAAACAATACTGCAGTTCACAAACATGTACACACACCTGAACACTTTTTTTTTGTTGTTGTTGTAGATGGACACAATTACTTTTATTTACTTATTTTTATGTGGTGCTGAGGATTGAACCCAGTGCCTCACACATGCTAGGCAAGTGCTCTACCACTGACCCACAACCCCAGCCCCACCTGTACACTTTTTGATTACAGATGTTTTCAACTCACAATGGGATTATGTCCTGAAAAAAATCCACCATAAGTTGAGGGCTCATGGTTTCAGAGGTCTCAGTCCATAGAAGGCTGGCTCCATTCCTCAGGGCTCAAGGTGAGGCAGAACATCATGGTGGAAGAATGTGGTGGTGGAGGAAAGAGACTGAGGCATTGCATGAAGGAGAGAGGGAAAGCAAGGGGAGGAGGGAGAGGGGGGGGAGAGGGGGAGAGAGAGAGAGAGAGAGAGAGAGAGAGAGAGAGAGAGAGATCTGTTCAGATATATATTTTTTTAATATGGTGCTGGGGATTAGAACCCAGGGCCTTGTGTATGCTAGGCAAGCACTCTACTAACTGAGCTATATCCCCAGCCCCATAAGTTGAAAATATTAAGTCAAAACTGCATTTAACACTTCTTATCCACTGAACATCGTAGTTTAGCCTAGCCTACCTTAAATATGCTCAGAACAGTTACATTAGTCCATAGTTTGGTAAGATCTTCTAACACAAAACCTATTTATAATATTGACTATCTCATGTAATTTATTGAATACCTATGTCCACAAAAATGCTGGCAATATTGAATACTTGTAGCACATTGGTTGCTAATTCTCCTGATCACATGACTGACTGGGCGCTGTGGCTTGTGACAGCTTTCATTGCCTAACATCTTTTTTTCCTCAACTTTTAAAATTTGTTCTTTTTAGATATACGTGACAGTAGAGTGCATCTTGACATATTATACATACATGGAATATAACTTATTCTAATTGAGCTCCCATTCTTGTGGTTGTACATGATGTAGAATTTCACTGGTCTTGCATTCATATATGAACATAGGAAAATTATGTCCAATTCATTCTTTTTCCTATTCCCATCCTTCCTTCCCTTCCTTCCCCTTTGTCTAATCCAATGAACTTCTATTCTTCCCTAGTCCCTCCCACCATCTTGAGAGTATTGTACCACATATTGCTATCCTGGGAAAAGATCAAGATTTGAAGAGTGGTTTCCACCGAACGTGTATTGCTTTTGCATCATTGTAAAGCTGGAAAATCATTAAGCTGAACCATAGTAAGTTGGGGACCATCTGTACTTCTGTAGGAAAAATTCCTAGAATGTTGGTTAAAATGGTTTTAATTAACCACATTTTAACTTTGGAAACAAATCACAGAATGCCTGCCAGAAAGGTTTTTACTAATGTGTTGTCATACCAAGAGCAAGAAGACTCTACACTTGCTACACCAAGACAAACAGTCCACACCCCTGCCAACATGGGAAACTATTCTTTTTTATTTTTTGCACTGTATTAAAATTTTTTAAATTGATTTTTTTTAGTTATACATGACAGTAGAATGTATTTTGACATATTGTATATACAAGGAGTATAAGTTTCCATTTTTGTGTAAGTAAGTAACTTATTCCATCTTGTACATGATGTGGAGTTACACTGGTCATGTATTCATATGTGAACACAGGAAAGTTATGTCCCATTCATTCTATTGTCTTTCCCATTCCCTTTCCTCCTCCTTTCCTGGCACTCTGCCCTGTCCAATTGGGTGAACCTCCCCTTCTCCCTCCCTTGCCCTGGGATACTATTCTTTACCTCTCTGCAATTGAAATTACAAAGATGTCATTGTTTTCATGTGTATTTCTTAGTCTGTTTGATCATTTTTTTCAATTTTTATAAAGTATATTTCACCTTTACATAATACATTTTTACAAATGTGTCTAACAAGATATTTTTAGTTTGGTTTAACTTGGGGAGATTTTCTGACATTAAACACTTTTTTGAGGTAATACATGCCTATGGTAAATTTTTTAAAAGGACAAAAGGATTCAAGGTGAGAAATATTTTCCTGTTTCTGAGTACCAGAGTTCTCCAGGGAACTAAGGTTATCAGGTTCCTGGCATTCTTTCAGAGATATTTACATGGACAAGCACTATATTTTCATAAATAAAAAGCAAATATGAGATGAGGGCCAAACTTTGAAATTAAATTCTCTTTTTTCTTCACTTAAAGAAGGCCAGGCATTGTGGATATTCAAATGGTGACCAGGAAACACTCTGCCTTGTGTGATTAACTGATAGTTTGATCAGGATTTCAATGCAGATGATTGCAAACAACTGTGCAATATCTAGAATGGAATGAGTAAATATAGATTTACTGTGTCTGCTATGTGCTACACACTGTTATAGTCCTTCTGGTAAGTTCTCTTTTCCTTCCTCAACAACTCTGAAAGATAGGTATTGTCCCCATCTTACAATGAAATACTCACCTAAGGCCTTTACGGTACACAGGATGAATGAAGCTCCTCTCCAAAGTGGCAGCTCTAAGTGCCCACCACGAAGGATGAAAATCAAGAAACAAATGGATTCTTTATTAGAAAGGACCGGTTCTTCACTAAAGCCACGAACCATAACTTTCCTGACTTACCTAGGAGGAAAGTTCACAAGGTTGCAAAAGCAGCCTTTACAGGAAGATCTCTTTCCTAGTGTCCAGGAGAAAAAACAAAATAAGTCACTTCATGGCAAGCTCTGCAGCTTGTTAATCAGTACTTGTTCTGCTTGAAAGGGCTCTTGACCATCCTTGGGGCACTCCCAGGAAAGTGGAAAGATTACATGAGATTGGCATGAAATAGAGTGGATGGTTCTAAGGGTTTTATTAGTATCCGCATAGATCAAAACCAGGACAAACAAGAAAAAAATATTTGGGGTTTCCAAAATATCTGGAAATTCTCCCTTGGTGTGAAATAATGCATGTGTATAAGATGGATAATCAAGGATGAGACTACTTGCAATTACAACCAAAACAGAGAAAGAAAAGGACCATGCGGCTACATAGTTCCTGTCTCAGAAGGTCTGCTTCTCCATTTATCTGTCAGTGTACTCTAAAACTGGGCTTACTAATTAGACTCACAAGGGACTATTGCTTAAACTAAATATTTATTTGCATACAGTTAGAGTGACTGGAATACTCTATTTCACTTAAAAAAAGAATATACTCATTTACCCTCCTATGAATTAAGTGAAAGCCTTTATTTTACTATACCCCCCTGAATCATTCAGTAGTAATACTTTTAAAAGTATTTATTGACAGGTCAAAATGGATTTCACATAAGTTTCCTCTGAATACAATGGCAACATTCCAAACAGGACAGAGAAGGCTTTGAGTCCTTTCCTGAAACTCTTTTCCCTACTAAGTCTGGATCCATGCCTCATCCTTCAAGGTAAAAAACAATCTTTTGGGGGCTGTGGTTGTACCTCAGTGGTAGAGTACTGGGTTGGATCCACAGCACCACATAAAAATAAAAAAAGGTATTAAAATACAATAATATAATTTTAAAAAGTCTTCTTCGTGTGTGTATATGGGGGAGGCAGGGTACTGAGGATTGAACCCAGGAGCATTGTACCATTGAGCAACATCCACAGCCCTTTTTTGAGTTAGGGTCCCACTACTCTGCCCAGGCTGTCCTTGAACTTGTGATCCTCCAGCCTCAGCCTCCCCAGTCACCAGTCACTGGAATTAAAGGCATGCACCACTATGCCCAGCCATCAGAGGCAAGGCCATCATTTTACTCCTGGCCATCCCATCTCTGTAACTCCTAGGCTAGTGGATCTCAGAAGTCTTAATTTGATGAACCCTTTGGGGGGGGGCAATAACTTAAACATGTAGTCTCTAACCGACTACCCATCCTGTCATTTCTTTTCTGTCCTCATTGTGTCTAACCTGCATTCTCTGTGGGTCCCATTATCCTCCAGGAGTCTTTGTTTGAAGCTTCTATTTAACAAGAATTTAATCAGGAGCTCAGGCTGTAGCTCAGTGGTAGAGTGCTTGCCTAGCACATGTGAGGCATGGGTTCAATACTCAGCAACACATAAAAGTAATAATAAAGGGGGGCTAGGGTTGTGGCTCAGTGGCAGAGTGCTCGCCTTGCACGTGTGAGGCCCTGGGTTTGATCCTCAGCACCACATAAAAATAAATAAATAAAATAAAGGTATTGTGTCTACCTACAACCAACAAACGAACAAATAAATAAATAAATAAAGGTACTGTGTCAAAAAAATTAATCAGTATCAGCAGGTCTAGAATCTGTAAATGGAAGTTTCTCTGGCTTCAGTAACTGAAAAACAATTTGGCTGGAATTGACACAGCAAAGTTAATTTATAATAATGACATTAACATGTTGGAGGTACATTTTATAGCACCACATCTCTGATGAAGAGATTCCTATCCAGTTAGAGGTAATCCTAGTTTCGAAATCATGAAAGCTTCTTGTTTTTGGTAAAAGTAAAACTTGCAAGCATGAGGTGCAGCCATCATTCCCATAAGAGACTGGGAGTCAAGAATACATGTTTTCTTTACTGTTCAGTTGGGTATTCTGGACACCTGTGAGAAGAGCCTCTCTAAAGTTGTGAGGAAGATAATCTTGTTTACATATACTCCTTTGGTGCATCATGAGAAGGCCTTGTGCCAATTTCTGATGAGTAATAGACATATCCTAAGAACCAGAGACGTACTTAATTTTAGATAGTGGGCCCTAAAGAGCAGTATTATCTCTGAATGGAAACCATATCAAATCTAATGAGCAATTAATTCTGGAAATTATTTTGAAATTCATCAAATAAAAATATGTACAGCAGTAATCTCTTCGTGATAGGAATGTGGTGCTTTGACAATGTTTTTGCTTATTTCTATTTTCAAACTTTCTAAAACACACACGTACTGCTTTTATAATAATAAAAAATTTGGGGGATACTGGGGATTGAACCCATGGGTGCTTAACCACTGAGCTACATCCCAACCCTTTTAATTTTTGATTTTGAGAAAGGGTCTCACTAAGTTGCATAGGGCCTCATTAAATTGCTGAGGTTGGCTTTGAATTTGAAATCCTCCTGCCTCAGCTTCCTGAGCTGCTGGGATTACAGATGTGCACCAAAGTGCCCAGCAAAAGTTATTTTTAATGAAAAAAAATGTGATCTTATGAGAGAAAGCTGGTGTTCATCTACCAAAAGCATTTCAATACATAGAGACTATTATTATTATTCTTGGTATATTAAAGGTGGAAATGAAGACTCTTCTAAAATGAGGTTGTGGATTTTTAATTTTAACGGTTAAAATACATCACTTGAGCATATAATATATATAAAATCAAATATTTCCCATTTTAAAAAAATTGAGTTAGGTATATAATTCAGTCTTATTCTTTCAATCTTAATGTAGTTTAGGCTTTTTATCTCATCAAACTTTCATGTTTCCTCTTTATTTGTCCACTTATTTATAGTTTTGGTAGTTTGCTGCTAGAAGGGTTAGGGAAGATTTTGTTTCTTCTCCCATTTCAGGAATAACTCTTTTTCTTCTTATATAACAAGTTAATATTATAAGATTCAAATCTAGTCATCAGAAACTGTGCTTATCTCTCTGTAATAATGGGAATAGGGTTCAAAGGCAAAAGACATCCAAGCTTACTGTTAATTTAGTGACTCAGTGACAGCATCAAGGTCCTAATGCTTCCATATTTCTTCCCTGTCATTCTTTTTTTATATTTATTTTTTAGTTTTAGGTGGACACAATATCTTTATTTTTTATTTTTATGTGGTGCTGAGGATCGAACCCAGTGCCTCTCGCATGCCAGGCAAACGTGCTACCACTTGAGCCACATCCCCAGACCCTTCTCTGTCATTCTTAGCCTATTAGTGAAAGTGACAATGCAATCCAGATAATATACACAGCTGCAGATCCAGATTAGAAGATTCTGAGCCCCCAAATAAGGCATCCCTGAAAAAAAAGCATTAAGCATAAGTGAAGAGGAGAAAGATGACTACATAATGAAGATACCTGTAGTTTAGTCCTCCATATATCAGGCTGTCTGCTCTTCTTCATATATGCTTTCGACTGATCTATGTTATAGGGGAGTTTGTTCTTATTCCTCCATCTGTCCTTGAAGCACCCTTCTCCTTCTCCTGGGGCCCTCAGCTACCCTTTTGTGACCCATTTCCACAAAATTTTTTTCCTAGCTGTCAATAGATGTCATTAGTAATATGTTAACTATTAGCTATCTGTCCTACTTCCTTTTGTTTTCTAATAGAGCCCTGATTTTGTACAGGTAGATGGTCAGGGAAGTCTGGGTCCTGCTTCTGATGCCAGGGCATGAAGCTGATATACTAAACCAAATTATGATGGTCTTTTTACCTTGAAAATTACTGGCTTATGATGAGTACATTTCACAATACATGTCTGTGTACATTATCTGGGTTGCATTGTCACTTTCACTAACAGGCTAAGAATGACAGAGAAGAAATATGGAGGCATTGGGACTTTGATGCTGTCACTGAGCCAGTAAATTAATCAACTGTCCTATCTTTGAACATCATTTTGTTGGGCTTTCTGTTACTTGCAGCTGAAATTATCCTATTTGATATTCCACTAAATCCTGCTACTTGTCAACTCTTGTGATATTGTTTTAATGAGTATGCAATCATTCCCTAAGTAATCTGGTACTAGAATAAGACATTGTGCTAAGATTCACTTAGAATTTTTATGGTACCTATCATTCTTGTTTTTTTCTTTCCTTTCTTTTTTTTTTTTTTTTTTTGTCCCCTGAAACACCTTCATAAACTTACAATTCCTTTTACTTACATTATCTTACTTTTAAAATTGCCCTCTAAGTTATTGATAACAGACATTCTTAGCTCTTTGTTCAGAGCAAAGAGTAAAATTTTTAAAAAGCTAAGGAAAGCCAAGTTACAAATTGGTCGAGATGAATGAAGCAATCATTGGCAGAGTTTGGGAAAGGGCTCGATTTTCTAACTTAAGTTTCTAACCACAGCACCCAGTGTCAATCATATGGGACACGTCTGGCACTGGAAAGGGTTGAATGGGAGGTATGAGGAGTGGATCGATATCCTGTGCAGAAAACCAGAGGCTCTACTCCTGCCTAAGGTCCACCGTGGCTTTGAGTCACTTGGTTGGGCTACAGCTGCAGGTTACAGTGCAGTGGGGACCAGCGACCTGGCCTACCCTGAACTGAACCTTGTGAGCCAGGAAGACCCCTCTACATCCCATGGCCCCATAACCAACCGAAGACCGCACACTGCTCCAACTGCGACTAGGCCGGCCCCTGGCCGCATTCCCTGGCCCCGGCCAGACCCGCACTTGAGGCACACAAGGCCCTGCTGGCCGCTCCCAGATCTCATTACCGACTGTCTTTCGAGTCTCGGAGTCTTCCTGTGTTCGCTCTTTCCTTCTAGGAAACATCACATCTCTCAGGGTCAGCAGGCCTGGAGCTCACCGGGGAGACCCCACCAGCGGAACCGGAAATACCTACTGGTAGAAACGCAGGAGTATCTATGTCTCCCACTTGCCCCACTCTTCCTGGCCTCAGTTTAGCTGCTCGATTGGTCTACTCAGAAGAGGATCCGCCCCCTCGGAAAATACTGGTCAATCACAGCGCGGGATGGAGGGGAGGGGAGGTGCTGCAGCGCGCAGCTTCCAAAGGCTCCCTTCGGCGCCTGCGTGGGGGAGCATGGGAGCGTGGGAGTTTTGCGGGGGCACAGTCTTTGGTCGTCGCGTCTCGATTGGGCGTGGCTTCCTGCTGCTTCGGCCGGGGTAGGGCGAGCCTCTCTGCTCCGGAGCTGAGTGGGCCCGTTTCTAGGCTGCACCCGGGAGAGGAGTAGTCGGCCCTGGTTTTCAAGGGAGCTTGAGGGAGGCTGCGGGCACGAGGAGCTTGGCCGCCGAGTGGGCCCCTCCAGGGACCTTTGTTTCTATTCGAAGCTTTGTCTGACGTCCCCGAAGCGATTGCAGGAGGTGCCCCCCACTCTGCAGATGGCGTCTGCACTCGCGTCATCCGACGCCCAGGTGAGACGAGCTACCTTTTTCCCATCCAAGTTCAGTGGTTATTTTCCGGCCTCCGCCTGACCTCCTCGGAGAAAGGCTAGGTACACCTGTAGTGATGGGAGGATGCCCGATTCTCGAATAGCCCTTCGCCCTTCGTTCCTAGACCGGTCACAGATGAGAAGTGGTTTACCAAATTCTTTTCAGAACCACCAGCTAGGGAGCAGAGCCTTTGGGAGGGGTTTGTAGCCGTTTGTCAGTGTCTTTCTGGAATGCCTCTGGAAATGGCAAATTTCTAGGCTTCACTCCATACTCGTTCAATAATGATAATGCCCAGCTGATTCCTAATCACAGCAAAATTCTGTAAACGTAGAGGAGGAGTAGTGGGCCTGGATGTAGTGATGGAAGGAGCTGAGCAATGAGTGCCATGGGGAAGGAAGAGAGAGACCAGCAAAGGAAAGGATATTGGGAGAATTTTAAAACCTCTCTCGTGAGTCTTCCTTGGTTGGCCAATCTTCTTTCTCTTACAGTATCCATTCTAAATGAAGGGGAGACTCCATCATTCTCACAACATACTTTCTTGACCCTTAAGTCACTGCCTCAAAATTTATGTCCATATTTACTCTCTCCTTCCTAACTCCAACCCCACTCCTAGACCCTGTTTATATCCCATCCTAGCACTGGGAAACCTTTTAGGCCAAACCCTTTTACCCCTTGCATCTGATGATTTTAGCTATTCTCTACCTCCCTAGACTGAGGGGCTGACCCACTACACTCTTGTATTGAGATGGGTTCTCATGTTGTTTCAGGGATCAACCCTGTATGACGACCTAGCTGTGTATTTTTGTCAAGAGGAATGTGTGAGCCTGCACCCTGCCCAGAAAATCAAAAAAGAAATCAAACAGGAGTGTTTCGAAGATGTGGCTTTGATGGGTAAGGCAATTGTTTTTCCTGCATTTTCGGACTTTTGTTAATTCTAGGATGAGGATTTCATTTCTTGTCCACATGTTGATATGGTGGTGCAGGACCTGTTGCTGAATGATTTATACAGATGTGGTGAAAACTTGCATGAAGGAACAAGTTTCAAAGTGTAGGATGATTTTTGAGAGACAGACATCCAGTCTAGTATAGTACCTGTGGTTTCACACAACACATGGCAATTCCTGGTAATCTTCCCTAATATTTGTTGCAGTCAATTTACAGTTGCACTTGGGAAACCCCATTACTATAAATTATTGTCATTTGCTAAAGATGGAAAAGTGATTTGCTCTTAAGGGGGTGCTATGCCTTTCTCATCCAAGGGGGATCTTTGCAGTATTCCTATGCGTGAGTATATTTTACCTCTGAACTGGGTTGAGTGTCTAAACTATCCCAGAACTTACGTTTTATATCTTCCATTTCTCTCATTATCATGTCTGTGTTTTTCCTTACCTTCTTGAACATATGGAGTATGTTTATAATAGCTATTTTAGTATTTTTTTCTGCTAGTTTTTTTTATCTTTGTCACTTCTGGGTCTGTTTCTAGTGATAGTTTTTTTCCTTGTTATGGATCATATTTTTCTGTTTCTTTACATGCCTGGTAAGTTTTGATTGGATTTTGGGCATTGTAAATTTTATTTTGTTGGTTGCTTGATTTTGTTGTATAAAAATATTTTTGGATTATGTGGTGGGATGCAGTTAAGTTACTTGGGGTCAATTTGTTTCTTTCAAGATTGCATTTTTTTTTTTTTGCTTTGTTTGTGTGGATTCAGATCAACCTTTAGGCTAGAGATGATTGGTCATACTTGTGAGGCAGTTATTTTCCTTAGGAGACTGCTTGATGTCCTGTGTGCTAGTGGGTCTTTCCACTTTGGCTGGTGGGAGTATGAAGTATTGTGTGAACTTTGTGTACTGTTCTATGTTTTCCTTTTTGGTGGTTCTTTCCATGGCCTTGGATAGTTTTTCCATGTATATGGAGATGAATACTCAGCAAAAGTTTTTAAGGAACCTTTTGTAGATGCTTAAGTTCTCTAAGAAGTTGCTCCTTCTTTATTATTTTGCTCTCAAATCCTAGTGACCCTGGTATCCCAGAGTGAACTCAGAAAAATCAGAAAAACTGGTGGGTACTGTTTGGATTCCCATGAACTCTACTATAGACCAGAAACCCTTTATAGTCAGTGACTTGGAACAGTCATAGGACTTTAGTTCTTTGGAAGGAAGAGTCCTTTTTGTATTAATATATTAGCTTTATAAATGAAGAATATACTTGTCTCTGCAGGAGACTGGTTCCAGGACACTGCCCTCCACTCAAGGGTACCAAAATCAGCAGATGCTCAAGTCCCTTATATAAAATATCGTAGTATTTCCATATGATCCATGCACATCTTCCATGTGCTTTAAATCACATCTAGATTTTAATAATACCTAACCCAAAGTAAGTATAATATAAATAGATGTTACACCATGTTGTTTTGGGAATAATGACAAAAAATGTACATGTTTAGTATTGATGAAGTTTTTGTTTAGAATATTTTCAATCTGTAGTTGGTTGAATCTTTATATACAGAACCATAACTATGTGAGAGCTGGTTATATTTGCAAAAATATTCAAAAGGAACTCTTTCTGGCAGGCCCAAGTTTTGTCAGCCATCCTTGAGGTAAGACTGGCCATCATTGACCTGCTGTACACACAGCAGCCCTACTTCCATGGTTCCTCAGGGCACAGAAGTTTTAGAGACTTCTCCTAGTGAAATGAAACTACTTTTAGTAACCTGTTTCTCTGTTATAGTAGAAAAATACTTGCCCTCTTTTTTGATAAATATAAACCCCAATCTTACTCCAGTTTTCATTGCTCAGCTGTCACTTGAGTTAGCTTAAATGATGAAAAGCTCTTGAGTTTTAAATAGACACATCTATATCTCTAGACAGTGCATACCAAGATTGTCCTTTGTACCTATCCCACTCGACTTTGACTTAGTTAGAGCCATTCTCTGCTCCTTCCCCTTACAGGTTCACCTGGACCTGGATCTTTGAGGAAGCCAGGAAAGCCTCTTGGTTTCTGATTTTATTTATGTGTCAGTGTCTAGGTTATAAGGTAATCCATTTGCAGTTTCCTGGACCTCTGTGTAACTGCTTCTTAACTGCTGCTTTCCCTAGTATCATATGAAGGTGTTCTTCGTGTTTTGCTTTTTTTAATCAACAGGAGGGGAAGGGAAGACTGAGATTAATCAGCAATTAAGCCAAGAGTCTATGGAACTTGAAGAACTTTCCTTAGAAAAGTACTCCATTGCTGCACCCCTTGTCTATTACCCAGAAAAGTCCTCTGAGGATGGAGTTGGAGTCCCTGAAAGGAAATTCTCAGATGGAACTTCCACTTGCAAGAAAGAGATGATAAGCCTTTTAGTTACCATTGACAACCACACCCCATTAGTAGAATTGTCTCAATGTTTAGGAGTCAGAGCACTTTCTGAAATTCTTGAATTTCCCTGGGAAGAAGCCAAAAATGTGTTCAAGTGCCCTGAATGTGACCAAAGCTTCAGTGATAATTCATACCTTGTTTTACATCAGAAAATTCATTCAGCAGAGAACAAATACAAATGTGGTGACTGTGGGAAAATCTTTAATCATAGAGCCAACTTGAGGACACACAGGAGAATCCACACTGGTGAGAAGCCTTATAAGTGTACCAAGTGTGGTGCCAGCTTCCGCCAGCAGTCACATCTGTCCCGGCACATGAATAGCCACATAAAGGAAAAACCATACACATGTGACACATGCGGGAAAGGTTTTATGTGGCTCCCAGGATTGGCACAGCATCAGAAAAGCCATACTGTTGAAAAAGCATATGAAAATTCTAATGGTAGTAAATATTTTGATCAGAAAACAAATCTGGCTTTGCATGAGAAAACACACACATCAACCACCCCATACCAGTACACCCAGCGAGTGAAGAGCTTTAGGCAGCCCCTATACACTGACCTCCCTGAGAAGGAACACAAGGAGGTCTCTCACAAATGCCATATTGATGATGAAAATTTTTTTTCATTTTCCAGGTTCAAACCCTTACAATGTCCTGACTGTGACCTGACCTTTCCTTGTTTCTCTGAGCTTGTTTCTCATCAAAACACTCATATAGTGGAAAAGCCCCATAAATGTAAAACATGTGCAAAAAGTTTTGCTTTGGATTCAGAACTTGCATGCCACCAGAAGAGCCACACAAGAGAGGAACCTTTCAAATGTACCGTGTGTGGGAAGAGTTTTAAAGTGAATATGCATCTCATTACTCATAAGCGAACCCACAGAAAAAACACCATGTAAACACAAGTTTACATTAATGCTTGGGTTTTTCAGTATCTGTATGGTGGAAACAGTTACTGTTTTGTGCCAGGCACTGTGCCAAGCACTTTATACACATTCCACTTAATATCTGATTTTCACCACAACCTTGATTTCAGCAGTATTATTTCAAGTTTTTAAATAAGGAAACATCATCAGTGTCACATAGTTAGTGAATGAAGCCAGAATTTGAACTTAGTTACTGTTCACATTCCATTTGTATGAGCCAGAGAAACAAAGTACCTTTTTTTAAAAATTCAGTTTTCATGAAAATGAAGGTTATTGTTATATTTCTTTTAAAATTTTGTTTATGTGGTTTCTAAGTAAGTTTTAGAAAGAGGAAAATTTATTTATTGCCAGTTTTGCACATATAATATCTAGAAAAGCGAATCACTTTATATCTGTTTTGTACTTTTTGTTATAAATATTTGAATGTAATGTTTGTATGGAGATAATTGTTTTACATGTGAATTTCTAGAGGAGTTTAGAATATCCTCCCCCTGCATTAAAATTCCCAAATGAATGGGACTTGTTGATATTTTGATGGCAACTTGTATCTATGGAGTTCCCATTCTCAGATCTGAAGTCAAGGGAAAGTCTTGGCATTTTTGACTCAAATATTTGGTAGGAGTTTTAGCAGTCTTACTACACCCCTCTTCTGGAGGTTAGACTTAATTCCAGTGGGTATTTGATACCCACTTTAAGGGGATTTGCCTTCAAATCCCTATTGAAGCACATTCCCTGACTTGTTATGAATAATCATAACTTTTTGAGTATGCTAAATACTTTAGGTATGTTATCTAATTTAATCTTAGGAATAAATATGTGACAGAGAAAGGACTGTCTTTGTTTCATAAATGAGAAACTGAAGCTCCTAGAGTGTTAAAGTCAGTACTTTGCCAAGCACACAAAACATTACACTGTAGTGAGGTTGCCATTTAAATTTGGGTATCTTCTGCCAGGCGCGATGGTGCATACCTATAATCCCAGCAGCTGGGGAGGCTTGCCAGGAGGATTGCAAGTTCAAAGCCAGCCTCAGCAAAAGCAAGGTGCTAAGCAACTCAACAAGAATCTGTCTCTAAGTAAAATACAAAATAGGGCTGGGGATGTGGCTCAGTGGTTGAGTGCCTCTGAGTTCAATCCCTGGAACCCACCCCCCAAAAAATTTGGGTGTCTTCTAATTCTAAACGCTTTATATTCTGTGACACTTTGTTATGTTTTGCAAGTATTAGCAGTGCAAGCAACCAGGGAGTCTGAGGTATGGAGGGACGATGGTCATTATGAAGACCACCCTGTGTACTTGCATCTTGGAACTCCTTCATTCTCTTTGCACTTTATCCAAAGCCTGAATTTCAAGTATGCTCATAAAGCAACAGAAGACTCTCTGGGACTTCTAGTGTTAATTCCCATCCCTACAATCAGATTTGAGATTTCAAGTTCTATAAGGTTTTAGTTTCCAAAAAAATCACAACACTTCCTCTCCATCTCAAAAGACAAATACATATAAAAATGGTTAGAATTTTAACCAAGACACTTCATAACCTAGATCCTTAGGTATTGTTATACAGATAAATATTGCTGCAAAATATTAAATAGTGTGGTTATAAAGCAGAGATGTT